ATTTCAAGAATCCAATAAAGATAAAGGACATACTTTTAGGGATTTTGAATAATAAAAAGATTCAAAATATAATTAAAATTTTATAATATTATAAAAGTTGTTAGAGATTGATTTCAGTAACCTTCCTCAAATGTATCCTTCCCAATTATTAATCAATTTTAGTAATTATCAAGTTAATTAAATAACCAACCAAAATATTTTTACTCTAATTCCTTAAAAGGTACTTTTAGAGATTTAGAATAATAAAAAGATTGAAAAACCAATTAAAAATTTAAAAATAAAAAGGTTTTATTAATATTATTAATAAAAGATAATTGAAAATTATCAGATTAATTTAACAGCCAATGAAAATATTTTAATCCCGACTCCTTAGGTAAGAAATTCTAGGTTCCTTAAAAAATTGTTAATTCTAAAATGTTGACTAATAAGACTTATCTTATTCTTAGTAATAAGTATTATTAGTCTCTAAGTAATAGTTTTAAAAGAGTTTATCAACCTCAATTAAATTTATGAGATCATGTAGATGTTCACCAAGCCAAAACATGTATTAAGAGAAGAAGAAAAATAATCAACCAAATAAAAGCATCAATTGAATAAAAATAAGAAGAATTAAATGGAGTAAGACTTCTATGTGAGTCCTACATCTTTTATTCTGTCTAACTTATCTAAAATATACAATATATGGAGTGTTTTTCTATTATCTACAAAGCCTATTTTTATAAGATTTTAAGTGAACTATCTCTAACTGGACTTGTTATATCTTAGAACAACTAGCTAGCTCACTTGAGCGAATACTTCATGATGCTTCTAGGGATGTTTTTGTGGTTGCTCGTTGATGTTGCTATGTTAGTTCGTTCAAAGAGCTTAAATAGTTTACTTGAGTGAGTTCATCATGGTGTTTTAGGTTTATTTTCTAAGTTGTCTCACTTAGAATGCCCAAATGGCTCACTTTGAACAAGTATAAAGTCACTCAAAATTTATTGTCCTCTGGTTCTGAGAGAGTACTCTCAATGTTCAATTCCTTTGTCATTAGCTTTTTTCTCTATGTATCTCAAAACTAATAAAATTCATCAAAAATACTTAAAACTAAAAATTCAATTAATTATAAACTTAAAATACTAGTTTTTGAGAAAATTAGAACTCTAAAATATAAAACATGTTGAGATAATTATCTAAACTAAACAAAAAAAATATTGACATATTTAATGATTATCATTGATCATCAATACATTCTATTTTTTATTTTTTGTAACTTCCTACATAATCATAAAAGAAATTAGAAGTCTAAATAGACAAACAAGTGTTTAAAAAACCTGTTAATGTGACTGGAAACTAAGATTAATTGAAGGTTGATCATGTATGAATACGAAGTTGGACTACTCTACCTTATAATATTTTGTTCATTTTTAGTTAGTCCTTTTTAATAAAAACTAGATGAAAATAAAAGAAAATTATTCACTTATTACAAAGACATAAAGAAAACTAAATATATTATAAGGACTAAAATAAAATAACAAAGATAAGAATAAAAAAAGTTTTACAAAAACCAATTTTAAAAAATATATTTTTATTAGGACAAAAAGTGATATATTAAATGAACCAAATAATATATTATACCTTGTAGTAGGATAATATATCTGAATAAACAAGAATTTAATTGAAATGAAACATATAAGGTTTCAAACATAAATTACACCACAACCCTATAATTATAGCTACTCATGGTGACAAAAAGCAACATAAACACATAAGAATTCATTAAAAAGAAAATTACAAGAAAGAGTCCCTCTTATCATTCCTCTGATCTCTTCACCGTACATAAATGTCTCCTTTTCCAAATTTTGTTATTTATGATATTATTAAAAGCATCATCTGAGCGCAAAAGCAAACACGACCATGAAGCCGTTCTTTGAACAAAACTGTCATGCTTATAAGTGCAAATTAGAATAATTTGAATCTAACAAAGTGTACTGTCAAGATCGGTCAGATTGGATTAACCTCCTCTACTCCCCCGTCTGGATCATCGTAATGAGGCAAAACCTTAGGAGATTACCTCTTGCCTCGACGATTAATAGATTATCATCCAACTAATTATCTCTCGATCTAAATTATCATAAATAAAATATCTTATCCCAATTGATAAGAGGATCTTTCCATTATTTAAGTAATATTGCATCATTTGTTGATAAGATAATTTATTTGAATATATAAATCACATGATAATAATTAAGCATCTTATTAATAATATTAAGTATGATATTAATCCTAATTTATATTTTATTTCTAAACTTTTTTTTAACTCGAGCATCAGAGTCTTTTAACGTGTCTCCTACTGCCGGTGTTGGAGACCAAGGCCGCTTTCCCGCTCGCCGGAGCACTAGCGGATTTAGATAGCAACATTAACGACTAACCATTGACCAAGGCAAAATTTCAAAGTTTCATAAAGGACACTGAGTGTCACGATTATCATTTTTTGTCTCTCTTTTATTATCCACATGCCCCATTTTTAACACGTACGTTTGTTATTATTAGCTAGGAAATGACCTGTTTCCACTCCTTTTAGCACAATACCTATTTACATTTACACTAAGGATCGGACCTTCAATTCATGTCCGTTTGAAACAATGTTACTTAAGGTGCATGAACTGCATGTATTATAAAATTTTGACTTAGTTGTTTCAGATATATATATATATATATATATATATATATATATATATGAGTGGCTTAATATGAGTATCAATATATTAACGACTTTTTTTAGTAAAATACAAAATTCTTCCACCATCTTAGAAAGTTTTAAATTGTGGATGTAAATCTAATCAACTCTACAAAATTATTATTATAATCGTTTCATTAGTCGATATAAAATTTTTAATACACATCATGCTGATAATTAAATATAATATGAAATTTATAAAATTAAACATTTACGAATAATTCGGTAATGACATTGGATATCCTGATTAAGTCCAATAATATTAATTAAGATAAATTTTAATATTATCTTAAAATACAAATTTAGACATAATTTAATTCTATAAAATCAATTTTTAAAATAATAATTAATCTTCATTATATACGCTATTATATGATTATTATATATGATATTATGGTTATTCAATGATTGACATGGAAGTTCTCATATGGGGAAAAAAATTCCATTCTACACAAAAGTCAATAATAGTAGTCAGTAAAGAAAAAAAAAAAAAAGGATAAAACCCTTCAAGATAATTTCCGATCGAAACCGCCCATTTATTTAGGAACAATAGTTTTTGGTCATCATAATTGTAAATGTGTATAAATTCACATGCAAAATAATTTAACAAATTTAGTTTTTTTTTTTTTGTTTTAATAAGTCTTCTGATTAAGTCACCTCCTATAAAAATAAAGTTATATTTTTAATCATGACTATATATATGCTCAAAATGAGATTGAACCTCAATTTTTAATTAAAAATCACAAATGATAAACTAGTTTTATCTAATAACTTTTGGTTAACACAGTTAATTTAAGCAAAGACATAAATATTGAGATCGAGAAATATATATACTTAACCTTATCCTTTCCTTATAGACGAATCATGTGATGATTATCATGTTATTTATTGTTTTATTTGGACAATAACTAATTAATCAATCACACATAGTACTGTATTATTATTAGGGTTAAAACACGCATGCGTGCATAATATGTGTGTTATTGTGTGAATTAGAACTAGAAAGCGCGAAGAAAATAAAATATTAAATGGATTTTGTGAACTGAATAAATTATTCACTCTGTATATATATAGGAGAAAGAAGTAGATGGTATACATATCGATCCGAGTAATATATTATCTTTTGATCTTTTCAAATCAAAGGGTCTTTCAACAATCCTTTTCTACATACAGATCAAATTGTCTATGAAACGTAAAGTGTGCACGAATAGATTTAGACACTGATTTGATATAGAATTCAAACGCTATAAAACACCCATTTCAATTATCCTTATTAGGTTCATCACCAAAAAAAAAGTATATATCCTTATTAGCTTGAATAGTAGCAAAGATTGCCTTGTATTTAAAAAATTTTTCCCAATCGCCCACCGCCACTAACTTGTCTTTGTAATTTCACTACAAAATGTTTTGTTATCAAGACAATGAAACCCACGTGAAACTGATCTCATTTTGATTTACTGAGTAGTATATTCATCGATTTATCTTTGTCCTATCTATTTCCTTTAGGTTTCCCTTTTTCCGAAAATTCAAATTCTGGTCTACAGTGCATCAAATAGCGAAAAGAAATTTAATAAAAAAATTATAGTGAAAAGGATTATGAACAAGTATTTATACAACCATTACTTTTTATACGAGCAAAACTCTTTAAAAAGAATCTCATATAAACACAAGTTCTTTTCATTTTGTACCCTTGTGAAAATTCTAGATTTTAAAGAATAACAATAAAGAATGATATGGATTTATAAGCATTGTATTTTCCGTTACATATACCCCAATAATGCTCAAACAGCAATTTCTTAAAGTTAATAGCAATTTAAATGTCATTTCATTTTTTCTGACCAAAGAGTAATTTTTTCATCATTGAACTGTTTTATTTTATCATCAACTTTAAAAGCGTTAACTTACATGAAAGCACAAGATAAATTGTACCCTTAATTAAGTGTCTGAAAATCAAAGAAAAAACTTGACATTGATGATTGTAGGGTGTGTAGGATGGATGGGCTATGAGTGTCTTTGTTCTCGTACATTTCTTATATCATATGCAACTTTCAAAATCGGAAAATTGAATTCTGGAAGTACTTTAAACTATACCCTTATCCTATATATGTAGTCAATGCCAGTCGTAGCATGTTCAGAATGATTCATATTTGACAAGAAAGCATATGAGAGAATATGTTGTCCACGAATCAAAATCAATTATGTGGTTAGCATGGATTAATCGTGATTTGAATGCATATTAAACGAAAAAACAAGACAAAGGAACAAGTCTTATTGCAATTCAATTCCCATAACTAAAACATCATATATATGATCGCCTTATAAAAATTGGATTTACGATAGCATGAAAAGAAACACAGGAGTGCAAGTCGAGTACAAGATCACAAATTGAATATAGCACTGTTAATTATATATCAAAATAAGAACCCGAAAACATGCATACAAACGAAATACAAGCAAAAGAAGAAAAACCTAGGTTATTGCTGCTCCATTATATATTTATATCCACATATTCAACGGTCAAATGCTCGTGCACACGCGAAGGTTATAACTTATAAGCATTATGCTGGCTTTATCTTTAGTACTCCTACTTCTTATATAGTCAACAATAAGATTTATGTACCTCAGTGTTAGTTCTGATACTTCACACACCTTCTTGGCACCAAAACCTGATATGTATATATATGTGCGTGGAGAATTTGTGATCAGCTTTCAGATTCTTCCGTTTGTTATACATGTCTTAGGAGAAAAAAAACTTTTGCCCTAAGTTTTCATCTAAGAATTTGATATGTTCTTCAAGTAATCCTCCCAATTATACGAAGACCCGTGACCCATCTAATCAACCACATGAAAAGAAATGTGAAAATTACCTTCAATTATGAAACTTCCATTTCAGTATGGATCATGGCCAAGTCTGAGCTCCAAGTCCACTTCTTTATCTTTCTGATTTCCTCTCCTGACTTGATGAATATCATCAACATGATGACTTGGACCAATTTGGAGACTCAAATTGGCATCCCGAAGCTCTTGGTTCAAACTCGAAGGCCGAGACCTTGGGTTATAAAACTCATAATAAAAGGCATGTGCAGGTGGTGGTGGATGAAAGTGCACGTCACAGTTCCTCTGTGACTCCAAAATTGAGTAATTAGGCCTTGTGGGCTGGCTTAAAATTTCTGAGACAAAAGGAAGGGCCATGGATTCATCGTTGTTGAATTTGTTAATTATTGGTGATGAAGCTTCTGGCGTGAATTGTTTGGCCTTGGCCCTGTCTTTCCTATGAATATTCATATGACCCCCTAAAGCCTGAGCGTTTGTGAAGCCTCTTTTGCAGAATGTGCACTCATAGGAGCGTTTGGTTCCACCACTGTCATCATGTGCTTCTTCTTGATGATCATTTTCTTCACTTAAATTCTCAGGGCTGACTGGCTTCTCTGAATTCATAGCAGGATTAATTAAGACTCTCTCTCTCTCTCTTGGAAACAAATAAATTTGCGAATCTCTTATGCTTAAAGAGATGTGCAAGATGTGAGGGCTTTATATTAAGAAAAGGATATGTGAGAAAGGTGTCAAATAAGGACAAGAAGAAAACGTTGGGTAAGTCTTTGTGGCATAGAAGCGGTTTTCTATCAAGAGAGTGTCATTTTTGGCGTTTTCTCATGGTATTTTTCCATTTAATTAGCCGGCTCTATCATGGGTCTAATCCTTGTGTATATTTTTATCACTTCCATTTCATTTGCTTACAATTTCTGCTTATGTTGCTTTCATGCATGACGTGGTTGTGCTTTTCTTTTGGCATCTCTTGTAAATCCTTTAACGCGTCAATGTGACTAGTTCTCGTGTACTCACAACAATTCTAATGTTAATTATAACCACAATATTTTGAAGAGAAACGGAGCATTTTTTAGTGATTTCACACTTTATTATTATTCTCGATTCGTATATATAGCTGTCAATTAACTTGCTATATTTGATTACAAAATGGCAAACAGAATGCGCAAGAGAATGTGATATACTTTTTCCCTGTTTAGCAAATGGCACGATGATTCTCATCACCACAACTAAAAAATATGAAAGATTTCACTGTTTTTCATGATCCCATACACATGCTTTACGGCGTAATTCTGCTAAATATAAATATTCTTCTCTTACATGTGAAAGCAAAGGTTAACAAATGAAGGAGGGTCCGAGGATATGATGCGCAATGTGAACATGTAAGCAGAAAGCGCGTTGAAGTATCCCCAAATGTCTTTATCATATCAATTCCTAATATTCTTCATATACTGCATTTATGTTAGCGCTAGTAATTTACTTGCATTTAACTGCCTTCTTAGCCCTTCTTCTAAAGGAAGAGGCATGTGAACTATTAGCATCATCCATCTAGGCTAGTAGAGTGTACCCTAATTTGATCCCAAGCCAACCTATATATACATGCCATGATTCATACTCAATTTATTATATGACCAAGTTTCATTCATTCAAACTGAATAGCTCCAACTAAACACATGACTGTACCCTATATCTAATTAATGACCAAAAGGAGAGGAATGGAGCCAGCTTAATTAAAAGGAATAATATTGAGGATATATAACCTATTGGTTATTTTAAAGAGAAACGAATCTCTACACGACCAAATGTCTCTCTGTGGAACAATTCTTGATGAACTTACAGGCGGACAAAGATGAAGTATAGTGATCAATGTTGGCAGTTTTTTAAAATATTTTTGGTAGATAGAGTATACGTCTTTGAAACGACCAGTGATTAATTAGCTTCCTCGTAGAAAAAGCTAACTAAATCCTAAGTAATCAATTTATTCCAAGTTCTAGTGACGTTATCCTAGATATGATAAAGACTAAGTATTCAATTAATCCTAATAATCATAATTGGCGGTCCACGGGATGAAAACCGGGGTTTGTCACTGATAATTACATGAGTGCTGCTGAACTACAGCTTGCTTTGCCCATTATATTAAGTCTTTACAGCGTGTATTAAGGTTGTCGTATGGCTTATAATATCATCAATTTTTGTTATGCCTGCATTTCCCAAGAAATGGTCATAACTTCGAATGAGATTATACCTAGTCCAATCGTGTTAATTAACTATTATGTGTTTTTTCAATTAATTAAGCCTACACACAGGAGCAAGGAACAAAAATTAATTGATGGGCGCATATCAGGTTTCACATATCACGAATTAGTTTTCAGTATCGCAATGTATTGAACCAAAAAGTAATTATATTCAATATTTTATCAGAAACATACATTCATTTCTTGAAAAAGAAGAAAAATTTATAGGAACATTTTATAAAAAATAAATAATAATAATATATTATTTTATGTAATTTTAATCGTAGAGGAGGAATGTAAAGAGAGGGTGATGAAAGAAAAGAGGGTGAGCGATAAATGAAGATGAAGTACAAGTCTTTCTTAAATATATTCTTCAATAAGCATGAAAAAGGTACGGTTTAAAAAATAATCATCATTGGTGTAAAAAAAGAATATCATTGTTAGATTTTGTTCTTTGATTTCTCTATTCAACAATGAACAATAAAAAACACTCCCACCTCATACATCTTCATTATTTTTAAATCTTATATTTATGAGATACAAATAAGTTTCACGTCATTATTAAGAAAATAAATAAAAGTTTATATATAAATACATTCTTATTTGATTTTAAATTATTTGAGTGATAATTAAAAGTAAAATAATGAAAACTTGAGTTTAAAATGAACAATATTTTACTAATATAGAGATGTATGTAAAATAATCCGATAAAAATAATAAAGAAATGACACTTCTCTTCATATAAATATATCATTTTAAACAAGAATGCAAAACATAATTCCAACACTATTTGTACTCTCATCTATATTAATTTTTAAGTTTTACATACCTTCATCTTTATATTTTTTTAAATCTTTACGTTTCTCATCCTTATTTTTTTTTCTCTATAAAAATAATAGAATTTTATAAATTTTATCTTCTACATTGAATATAAGATATGAATTGATATATTCCTTCCATCACAAATCTGTAGTCCTTTTTGTTCCCAAAACAATTGACATTTTAGAATTTGAAATTCTAATTACTATTTTTTTTCTCAATCAAATACCCATATTTAATAAGCATTTTCTCCGTCAACTGTTCACCTTTTTTTCATTAAAAAAAATAATGAAATTGAGATAATATGATATTATAATAAGGACTTTTTAGTCAAAATTTATATCCATTAACTCTACTAGAAAAGTGTCATTTTCCTGCGAATTTTCCTATAAAAAAAAATTTGTAAAAATTTTTTGTGAATTTTTTTGCAATAATAATTTCACAAAAAAAAAATTACGAATTCATTTGCGAAAAATAATTTACAGATATTTCTTACAATTTTTGTATGAAAAATAATCTACAAGAAATTTTTGCAAATTTTGCTACAATTTTAATGATCATAGAAAAAAATTTTCATGGTAAAAATTTGCAAAAAATATTGTAAGAATTTTATTTTATTTCTTGCAAAAATAAATTCGCAAGTAATATTTACTAAATGGTAGAAAAATTTCGCAAGTAACTTTTTCTACGAATTTTCTTACCAATTTTAATCTGCAAGAAAAATCAAAAAAAATATTTAAATTTATAAGTTTAATATTTAAAAAAAAATTCAAGTCCCACATCGATTAAAAATAAAACAATTAAAGAGTATATAAGTTGGGCAACACTTACCTTACAAGTTATTTATATGGTTGAATGTTAGGCTTATAATCTGCAATCTTATAATTTAAAAGATTATGTATCACATGTTGGAGGTGTGTAAACAAATGCTTCGGATGAATTAATTGTAAGCAATTGAAAGTTGAAAAATTATTGATAGAATTTGTAGTAATTTCTTTAATTTTTTTATAAAATATATTCTTACAAAATTTCTTGCGAAAAAATTCGCAGGAAACTTTTCTGCGAATTTTTTTTTACAAGAAACTTTCCTGCGAAATTTTTTCGCAAGAAATTTTGTAAGAAATTTCTTGCAAATTTTAAAATTCCCAAAAACATATTATCCACGAAAGTATTACCTATAGATAAAATTTCGAAAAAAAAATTGTAAAAACAACATTTCTTGAGAATTTTTATAAAAAATTCGCAGGAAAAGTCTCATGTAATAAGAAAAATTCTAGTAGTATAAATATTTCTTGGCCATGTTTCATTAATCTTAAAAAAATAAAGATTTAGAATAAAGAGAGTAGAATATTATATATATTTTCATTTATTTTTTTTTGGTAGAAATATATTTTCATTTATGATACCGTGATTTGTTTAATATAATTTTTATTTAATGAGGTAAGACATTTCTAGTAGGGTTGTAAAAAAAACTTAAAGAAACCAAATTGAACTACTTTGAGAAAAAATATGAATAAAACCATTTTATAAAAACAGTTTGGTTAATTGAACTACTTATATAAACCAATTTGATTCAGTTTGGTTATTTAAAAAAATTAATTTATATATAAGTGTAAAATGGATAAGTTATATTGCAACTAAAACAACTTATTTTTGAAAAAATTGAATTGTTTTTACAAAAATCCAAATTTCCATTTTCATAAAATGGTCTAATTCGATTTGGCTTTTACAAAAAGCTAAACCGTGAACAACCTTATCTATGGTGATTAGTCACATAAAAAAAATTATGCATTTTCTTCAAGAAGTCTTCATTGTTTTTTTAAGCCACGAATATTCATGTAATTATGACCAAACTTGTATTTTTTGATTAATGTTACTAGAAGTAATTTTCTAAACAAATATATATTGCTTCAGAAATTATTTTCCAAAAAGAAAAATATCATTCCATAAGGTATTTTTCAAATTTGTTATTTATTTAAAACATAATTTTAGAAATTATTTTATGAAATAATAAGTGCTTTTTAAATTATAATTTCCGGAAAAGAAGATGGGAAAGAATATATGAGTAGAGAATTATTTAAAAATGAATTAAAATAAATAGTATTTAAGTAATTTTATATACCTAAAAAAAAAAAATAGGAGATGTATCTAATAAATAGGGAATGTGAATAACAAAAGCCGCCAGAAAATTATGAATTAGTTTGGGGCTTTGGGCCCTTCTGTGAGTTCCTTACTGGGCTAAGGTCAGAATTTTTTTGGGGGGGCTTCTTTTTTGGGTTATGTTGTTCCTTACATACTCACGCAATGGAACAATGAGAGCAACTTTTCTTGATTCACCTGAAATGACTTTTGATTATTTTCTTTGCGTAGATTACTTTTACTTCCAATCGCATGTTGTGCTATTTTTTGTGATTGGACATTTATTAAATCTTGAAAAGTTAATTTCATCCCAAAAACAATGGTCCTAAGAGTTATAATAACATCGATGTAATTTTTACTAAGTATTACACCACTCAATAACTTTATATTAAATATGAATTTTGCAAATTTAACTGTTAGATTAAAAATTATTTACTCTTAGATTATATATACAAAATTTATATTAATAAAAAAATGATTTGATATTTCATTCT